ATTCAGTCAAAACACCATAAGCCTTGAACTTGTTAAGATGCCCATCATTTGATAACCTAATCAAATGTCTACAAAAACATCTAATGCAACCTCCAAATATATTAGTTCTTGTCTAAAACGTAACACACTTTCAGCAGTAATTTGAGATAATCTGCAAAATACCGAGAGGCAAGTTTTTCTATTGTTTGTCTGGAAGAATCCCTGCGAGCTGAGATATTTAATCAATTGGGAGTTGATTAAAAATGTAGAAATTTGTTATATAAAAGAAAAGTAGATTGAAGGAAGATACACCCAAGTTCTTAAAAATAGGAATTAAAACAAAATTTAATAGCCATATTAAAAATTCGAAGGATAAGAATCAAAATATTAATAAGTTTTCCTTCAGGATTCTGGAAGAAACTAATTTTAACTCACATATTAAAAGAAATATTCTTGATCTTAAGATTTAAATAATTGAGATATTTTAATTTTAGCCTTAAAATAATGAGTAAAATTAATTAAAATTTGTGGTAGTTTATAACAAAACACTTAATGTTAAATTATTGAAATGAAAGCATTATAATTATTAACAGAACTAAGAAAACCTCAGCCTACATTGGACGACGAATTTACTGTAATATAGTGATTTGAACTAAAACCAGCCTTTGTGGAGGCATGATGTTACCATTATATCGACACTGTCAAGTGGAAGATTCAAAACGATGGTCCACTCAACTTTTTCAGGAAATAACCAAAGAAAAGGGTTTTAGAATGAACGAGAAAGAAGAATATATTTGCTTTCTGTTTTTATATTGGATGAAACATTTAAAAGTAGACAGTTATCGATGAAACATAAATTATGGAGATAGAAAATTCTCTTAAAATGTCAGAAGAAATTCTTCAAAAAATTCTAAATGGATTTATTTACAAAAAAAAAATGGTTCACTGAGCCCGAAGAAATATTTTCTATTTCAATGCATAATGAATTAGATGAATTAGTGAATATTGAGAAGAAAAATGTACGTGATGGAAGAAATATATTTTCAATATAAATTCCTTAAGTAAAAAGGTTGACTGATGTAGAGTTCACTGAGCTCGAAGAAAATTAGAAAAAATTGGAAATGAAAATTCCAAATGTCAAGATGACTCAAAAAAAAAAAAAATTTATACGAATGTATTATCAATAAAAACGTTTGACTTTATGTAGATTTCACTGAGGTCGAGGAAAATTATTAAATTTTTAAATTTTATAATGAATTAATACGAAATTTTCCTATTTTGAACTTAAAATGGTTTCTTAAATTTTGTAAGACATTTTATTTATTCAATCCGCACCTTCAAATTTCAGACAATTTTTTAATCCCCTGTAAAAATACTAATAATATTTAAATTTACTTTTTAAGAGATTTTAATTTATTCCAATGCACCTTCGAATTTCATCGTTAAAATTTTCCGTCCCCTGTAAAAATACTAAATAGGTATTTAAATTCAGATTTTAAAAGCCATTTTGGATTTATTCCAATGTACCTCAAATTTCAGGCAACATTTTCCGTCCCCTGTTAAAAAAAAAATCAAGGTATTTAAATTTAGATTTTAAAAAGCCGGGTTATTTATTCAATGCACCTTCAATTTCAATGGTACATTTTCTGTCTCCTGTAAAATACTACGTAGGTATTTAAATTTAGCTTTTGTAAAACATTTTATTTATTCAATGCACCTTTAATTTCATCGTCACATTTTCAAAACCTGTAAAAATGGAATACATAGATATTTAAATTTTCGAAACAAAATCTGGTGTAATCCAGTTTGAATTAGTATTTTCGGATGTTCTTTTTTGTGATAAACATTTGTCTCCTTACAATTGATATTTAGTACTTTCTTCTCGCTTTCCTTTACTACCTACTCCTAGAATAACGCGTAGTTTTCATGCTTTAATTTTTCTTCACTGTGTCACCTGCATATCTTATAAAAAGAAATTGCCGCCAATAATGAATCCTGAAGGACTTTTTATTCTCTCAAATCGACTCACTGAAAAAATAAATAAGTCCGGTGAGAAGGCATTTTCTTTGCCTTCGCCCTTTTCTATTTTGTTTATTTACTGAATTCATTTTCTATCCGTATGCAGACAGTTTGCTTTAGATGGGTATACGATACTAGATTATTCCAATATATTATTTCCATAAAAACAATTTCATTAAAATTTGATTCAAACAGTTCTTTTGTAGCGTACTTTATCAAATGTTTTTGCATAATCTATAAAACAAAGGTTCATCCTTTGTGTGCTCTTTCTGATATTATTTAACAAATAAATATTATTTATTCTTTAAACAACTGTGTCTTTAACGAAATAATTATTCTTGTCCTATTTCTGGTCTAATATTCTTAAAATTTCAGATTTCAGTGGATAAATTTCGTTATGTTTCTATCATTTAAAAATTATCCGATGGAATTCGCATTCATTTGCATCTGGCTTCCTAAATAAAGCTACAAAAATGCATCTACAAGACGTCTTCGTATTGTCGTATATTACATTTTTTTTCTGTAATTTAGTCGATGCTGAAATTATCTAATTACCAGGATCTCTATTGCAATCCCGTCTTGTCCTGCTTCTTTGTTTCTGTTCAGTTTGACCAGTGCTGATTTCAAAAACTTTAATATTTCTGTCCTTCCTTATCTTTGTCTATTCAGGTTTTCTCTTATGTCTTGAAAGAGTTCTCTGATGTATTAGTTCCGTCTTTTGAAGTATTTTTTTTCTTTATTATCAGTGTTTACTCTTTTGATTTTATGCATTTGACACGCATGTCTTTTTTCCTATTATTTTTTCTTATTCTTTTATGCATATTTGCCTTATGTTTGATGCTCATTCCTTCTATTTCTGGTCACCTTTTTTTTTTTCTAGCTGTAATTGTTTTTCCTAATTCCTTTGTGCAATTCTTAATTCTGGTAATATACCTTGGCATTGTTTGTTGTTTTCTTTTCACCAGATCGAGAATTTCATCTGTCATCCACCTTTTTTCATTGTCTAATTGTCTTTAAAATGTTTTTTTTTTTTTGATGCTAATATAGTTTCAAAAAACATGCCCCACTTCAATTTTCAATATTTCTTAGTTCATTGCATCTGCTTTTAACGCTGTCATATTCATCTAAAGAAATTCGGGTCATTTATATTTATATCCCATTGTAATTGTGAGTGCTGCCTTGGCCCTCTTCATCTTCCATATTTTACTTAAGTTTACATATCATGGAAGAAGATGGTCGCTCCAGCAGTCATCAAATATAAAATGGTATTTTTACAGTAAAAACTGCATTCATGAATCTCTTATTGATCGTTATGTAACTGAATTGGCCCTTCGTTTCTTTCCTGGATTTATCCATGTCTATAAGTGTTATACTAAAACACACCTATTCTATTGTTAATAGACTCTCCCACATATAATAAGTAGTAGTAGTAGCAGTCGCCAGGGGGGCTCAGTGGAGTTGGTGAGTCAGTCGATGTCGGACATTAAAGTATCAACCACCACAACTAGATTGCTGCGTCATTAACTATTATAAAAGTTCCTAAAACTTTTGTACGTCGAACCTTTTTAGGACCGACTTAGTGAAATACAAGCCTCCACTGTGAAAACTACTCTACAACAATGTATCTTAGGTATTCTTGAAACCAGGTGTTATATATTACCTGGTCGTTAGCTGTATATATTGGACACATTTTTATTTACGTCCATTGCAGGTTCCTAGTCCGAATTTATATATATTTCACCATATCGCGCCTTCCATATTTTGCTATTCAGTTCTCCCATGACGATTGTAATTTCCGCGATTTCTATTGAGCATTGGCGTTCTGCAGCATGCAATCATTTACGTTGATTTTACATGAAAAAAAAAACAAACCTTGAAACTAATGATATTATCCCCGAGTGACAAAAAGGACGCAAAAAGGTCCTTGCCACTGAAAATAGTTTCTTACTGCTGAAAAATTATTGTCTACAAAATAAGAACCTAGGCAATACATTGGTAGACTATAAGAATACTGTTAAGGGCTTTACGCCTGACTGGATAATGAATTTCCAATAATTAATGAACATTTCTGCTACTGTGATTAATTTTCTAAAAGCGCATATGAAGAATAGGAGTCTTACGTTAATCATCAACCATATTAATAGTAAAATTAGTTGTGATAATTTACGGATCAACGTTGGATTATCTTTTTACTATAGCCTCTATGTTACCTCTTCCTTTGCCTTTTAGTATAGCCTAATATATTTTCTTCCTTTGCCTTTTAGTATAGCCTAATATGTTACCTCATCCTTTGCCTTTTAGTATAGCCTAGTATGTTACCTCATCCTTTGCCTTTTAGTTTTTAGTATGTTACCTCTTCCTTTGCCTTTTAGTATAGCCCTAATATATTTACCTCTTCCTTTTGCCTTTAGTATAGCCTAATATTACCTCATCCTTTGCCTTTTAGTATAGCCTAATATGTTACCTCATCCTTTGCCTTTTAGTATAGCCTAATATGTTACCTCTTCCTTTGCCTTTTAGTATAGCCTAATATATTTACCTCATCCTTTTGCCTTTTAGTATAGCCTAATAATATCATTTTACCTTTTTGTCCTTTTACCTTTTAGTATAGCCTAATATGTTACCTCTTCCTTTTGCCTTTTAGTATAGCCTAATATATTTACCTCTTCCTTTGCCTTTTAGTATAGCCTAATATGTTACCCCATCCTTTGCCTTTTAGTATAGCCTAATATGTTACCTCATCCTTTGCCTTTTATAGCCTAATATGTTACCTCATAATATAGCCTAATATGTTACCTCATCCTTTGCCTTTTTAGTATAGCCTAATATATTACCTCATCCTTTTGCCTTTTTAGTATAGCCTAATATGTTACCTCATCCTTTGCCTTTTAGTATAGCCTAATTTACCTCATCCTTTGCCTTTTAGTATAGCCTAATATGTTACCTCATCCTTTGCCTTTTAGTATAGCCTAATATATTTACCTCTTCCTTTTGCCTTTTAGTATAGCCCTAATATGTTACCTCTTCCTTTGCCTTTTAGTATAGCCCTAATATGTTACCTCATCCTTTGCCTTTTAGTATAGCCTAATATGTTACCTCATCCTTTGCCTTTTAGTATAGCCTAATAATATGTTACCTCATCCTTTGCCTTTTAGTATAGCCTAATATGTTACCTCTTCCTTTGCCTTTTTTAGTATAGCCTAATATATTTACCCCATCCTTTGCCTTTTAGTATAGCCTAATATGTTACCTCTTCCTTTTTGCCTTTTAGTATAGCCCTAATATGTTACCTCTTCCTTTGCCTTTTAGTATAGCCTAATATGTTACCTCTTCCTTTGCCTTTTAGTATAGCCTAATATGTTACCTCATCCTTTGCCTTTTAGTATAGCCTAATATGTTACCTCATCCTTTGCCTTTTAGTATAGCCTAATATTTTACCTCATCCTTTGCCTTTTAGTATAGCCTTTTAATATATTTTACCTCTTCCTTTGCCTTTTAGTATAGCCTAATATGTTACCCCATACTTTGCCTTTTAGTATAGCCTACTATGTTACCTCTTCCTTTTCCTTTTAGTACAGCCTAATATGTTACCTCATCCTTTGCCTTTTAGTATAGCCTAATATGTTACCTCATTCTTTTTAGTATTTAGTTATAGCCTAATATAGCCTAATATGTTACCTCATCCTTTGCCTTTTAGTATAGCCTAATATGTTACCTCTTCCTTTTGCCTTTTAGTATAGCCTAATATGTTACCTCATCCTTTGCCTTTTTTAGTATAGCCCTAATATGTTACCTCATCCTTTGTTGCCTTTTAGTATAGCCTAATATGTTACCTCATCCTTTGCCTTTTAGTATAGCCTACTATGTTACCTCATTCTTTGCCTTTTTTGTACAGCCTACTATGTTACCTCATCCTTTGCCTTTTAGTATAGCCTAATATGTTACCTCATCCTTTGCCTTTTAGTATAGCCTAATATGTTACCTCATCCTTTGCCTTTTAGTATAGCCTAATATGTTACCTCATCCTTTGCCTTTTAGTATAGCCTAATATATTACCTCATCCTTTGCCTTTTAGTATAGCCTAATATGTTACCTCATCCTTTGCCTTTTAGTATAGCCTAATATGTTACCTCATCCTTTGCCTTTTAGTATAGCCTAATATGTTACCTCATCCTTTGCCTTTTAGTATAGCCTAATATGTTACCTCTTCCTTTGCCTTTTAGTATAGCCTTATATTTACCTCATCCTTTGCCTTTTAGTATAGCCTAATATGTTACCTCTTCCTTTTGCCTTTTAGTATAGCCTAATATGTTACCTCATCCTTTTGCCTTTTAGTATAGCCTAATATGTTACCTCATCCTTTGCCTTTTAGTATAGCCTAATATATTTACCTCATCCTTTGCCTTTTAGTATAGCCTAATATGTTACCTCTTCCTTTGCCTTTTAGTATAGCCTAATATGTTACCTCATCCTTTGCCTTTTTAGTATAGCCTAATATGTTACCTCTTCCTTTTATAGCCTTTTTAGTATAGCCTAATATATTACCTCATCCTTTGCCTTTTAGTATAGCCCTACTATGTTACCTCTTCCTTTGCCTTTTAGTATAGCCTAATATGTTACCTCTTCCTTTTAGTATAGCCTTTTAGTATAGCCCTAATATATGTTACCTCATCCTTTGCCTTTTAGTATAGCCTAATATGTTACCTCATCCTTTTGCCTTTTAGTATAGCCCTACTATGTTTTACCTCTTCCTTTTTGCCTTTTAGTATAGCCTAATATGTTACCTCATCTTTGCCTTTTAGTATAGCCTAATATGTTACCTCATCCTTTTGCCTTTTAGTATAGCCTAATATGTTACCTCATCCTTTTGCCTTTTAGTATAGCCTAATATGTTTACCTCTTCCTTTGCCTTTTAGTATAGCCCTAATATGTTACCTCTTCCTTTGCCTTTTAGTATAGCCTAATATGTTACCCCATCCTTTGCCTTTTAGTATAGCCTACTATGTTTACCTTCCTTTTGCCTTTTAGTATAGCCTAATATGTTACCTCATCCTTTGCCTTTTTAGTATAGCCTAATATGTTACCTCTTCCTTTTGCCTTTTAGTATAGCCTAATATGTTTTTACATTCTTTGCCTTTTAGTATAGCCCCTCTTTTTGCCTTTTTAGTATAGCCCTAATATCCTTGTTTTAGTATAGCCTCTTCCTTTGCCTTTTAGTATAGCCTAATATGTTACCTCTTCCTTTGCCTTTTAGTATAGCCTAATATATTTACCTCATCCTTTGCCTTTTAGTATAGCCTAATATGTTACCTCATCCTTTTGCCTTTTAGTATAGCCTAATATGTTACCTCATCCTTTGCCTTTTTAGTATAGCCTAATATGTTACCTCTTCCTTTTGTAGTATAGCCTAATATGTTACCTCATCCTTTGCCTTTTAGTATAGCCTAATATGTTACCTCTTCCTTTGCCTTTTAGTATAGCCTAATATGTTACCTCATCCTTTTGTATAGCTTTTATGTATATCCTTGCCTAATATAATATGTTACCTCTTCCTTTTTTGCCTTTTTAGTATAGCCTAATATGTTACCTCATCCTTTGCCTTTTAGTATAGCCTAATATGTTACCTCATCCTTTTGCCTTTTTAGTATAGCCTAATATGTTACCTCTTCCTTTGCCTTTTTAGTATAGCCTAATATGTTACCTCATCCTTTTTGCCTTTTAGTATAGCCTAATATGTTACCTCATCCTTTTGCCTTTTTAGTATAGCCTAATATGTTACCTCATCCTTTGCCTTTTAGTATAGCCTAATATGTTACCTCATCCTTTGCCTTTTAGTATAGCCTAATATGTTACCTCTTCCTTTTCCTTTTAGTATAGCCTAATATGTTACCTCTTCCTTTGCCTTTTAGTATAGCCTAATATGTTACCTCATCCTTTGCCTTTTAGTATAGCCTAATATGTTACCTCATCCTTTTGCCTTTTAGTATAGCCTAATATATTACCTCATCCTTTTGCCTTTTAGTATAGCCTAATATGTTACCTCATCCTTTGCCTTTTTAGTATAGCCTAATATATTTACCTCATCCTTTTGCCTTTTAGTATAGCCTAATATGTTACCTCTTCATTGCCTTTTAGTATAGTTCCTTTTTTAGTATTAGTATATAATATTACCTCATCCTTTGCCTTTTTTAGTATAGCCTAATATGTTACCTCATCCTTTTTGCCTTTTAGTATAGCCTAATATGTTACCTCATCCTTTGCCTTTTAGTATAGCCTAATATTTACCTCATCCTTTGTTTAGTATAGCTAATATGTTACCTCTTCCTTTTGCCTTTTTTAGTATAGCCTAATATGTTACCTCATCCTTTTGCCTTTTAGTATAGCCTAATATGTTACCTCTTCCTTTGCCTTTTAGTATAGCCTAATATGTTTTGCCTTTTTCCTAATCCTTTTTGCCTTTTAGTATAGCCTAATATGTTACCTCATCCTTTTTGCCTTTTAGTATAGCCTAATATGTTACCTCATCCTTTGCCTTTTAGTATAGCCTAATATGTTACCCTCATCCTTTGCCTTTTAGTATAGCCTAATATGTTACCTCATCCTTTGCCTTTTTAGTATAGCCTAATATGTTACCTCATCCTTTGCCTTTTATAGCCTAGTATAGCCTTTTAATATAGTTAATATGTTACCTCTTCCCTTTGCCTTTTAGTATAGCCTAATATTTTACCTCATCCTTTGTTTTAGTATAGCCTCTATGTTACCTCATCCTTTTGCCTTTTTAGTATAGCCTAATATGTTACCTCATCCTTTTGCCTTTTAGTATAGCCTAATATGTTACCTCATCCTTTTGCCTTTTAGTATAGCCTAATATATTACCTCATCCTTTTAGTATAGCCTTTTACCTCATCCTTTGCCTTTTAGTATAGCCTAATATGTTACCTCATCCTTTTGCCTTTTAGTATAGCCTAATATGTTTACCTCATCCTTTGCCTTTTAGTATAGCCTAATATGTTACCTCTCATCTTTTGCCTTTTAGTATAGCCTAATATATTTACCTCATCCTTTTGCCTTTTTAGTATAGCCTAATATGTTACCTCATCCTTTGCCTTTTAGTATAGCCTAATATTTACCTCATCCTTTGCCTTTTAGTATAGCCTAATATTTACCTCATTTTTGCCTTTTAGTATAGCCTAATATGTTACCCCATTCTTTGCCTTTTAGTATAGCCTAATATGTTACCTCTTCCTTTGCCTTTTAGTATAGCCTAATATGTTACCTCATCCTTTGCCTTTTAGTATAGCCTAATATGTTACCTCATCCTTTGCCTTTTAGTATAGCCTAATATGTTACCTCTTCCTTTGCCTTTTAGTATAGCCTAATATGTTACCTCTTCCTTTGCCTTTTAGTATAGCCTAATATGTTACCTCATCCTTTGCCTTTTAGTATAGCCTAATATGTTACCCTCATCCTTTTTGCCTTTTAGTATAGCCTAATATGTTACCTCATCCTTTTGCCTTTTAGTATAGCCTAATATGTTACCTCATCCTTTGCCTTTTAGTATAGCCTAATATGTTACCTCATCCTTTTGCCTTTTTAGTATAGCCTAATATGTTACCTCATCCTTTGCCTTTTAGTATAGCCTAATATGTTACCTCATCCTTTGCCTTTTAGTATAGCCTAATATGTTACCTCATCCTTTGCCTTTTAGTATAGCCTAATATGTTACCTCATCCTTTTTAGCCTAATATTTACCTTTCCTTTGCCTTTTAGTATAGCCTAATATGTTACCTCTTCCTTTGCCTTTTAGTATAGCCTAATATGTTACCTCATCCTTTGCCTTTTAGTATAGCCTAATATGTTACCTAATCCTTTGCCTTTTAGTATAGCCTAATATGTTTACCTCTTCCTTTTTGCTTTTTAGTATAGCCTAATATGTTACCTCATCCTTTGCCTTTTAGTATAGCCTAATATGTTACCTCATCCTTTGCCTTTTAGTATAGCCTAATATGTTACCTCTTCCTTTGCCTTTTAGTATAGCCTAATATGTTACCTCATCCTTTGCCTTTTAGTATAGCCTAATATG